GTGTTGTGCCGAAAAAAGCATCCCTGCCGCGAAATGCACCCCTGTCGCGGGAACGCGCATTTGGAGACAGACGCCTCACAACGGAAAGAAAAGGAATAACAGCCGTCATTATCATTAGCGTTCGCATTCTACGTCGCATTTGTTCTCATTAAAGTCCAGATGTAATTAGTAAGAATGGTGGAATATTGTTTAACGAGTGTGTAGCAGCAGGGTGAGGACTAGGCATGCTGGCTTAAAATACACTAGATGTTCTCAGCGTGTCAAATATTACTGTTTGTCTGGATTATTTCAGCCTATAAAAGAAGCTTGTAAGGTGGCATATACTGTAACAATGCATCAGCAACGTAATGTAACACATTGGTATTTTGTGTTTGCGTGAAATGAAAAATAAAATGTAATGACTTTTTGTTTAGATTGGATGCTATTTCAAAAATGGGCTTTTCAATAGGCTTCTTCTGAGCTCACACACTTAAACAGAACAAATGTAATGCTTTTCACGGCAAACTCCTCTGCCAGGAAATGCACCCCCTCATACCTCCCTGTAGGAAAGTGCCACAAACATGAAACTCACCCCTCTTCATCGGCCCTACCACTATACCCTCAAAATTATTTGACGCTGGCACCAACATTTTCACCAACTCCCATTGAGATAGTGTTATATGAATAAAAGTTTTAAGCCTAGTGGTTGAACATATTCACCCATATTCAATTTTTTGGGAAATGCATACACAAACTCGTTGGGAGCATACACAAATTTTATTGTAATAAAGTACTGAAAACCATCTTAAGTTTTTATTTTTTAATGAATTAACTTCTGAAAAAAATATTTAAATAATAAATATAGAAATAATAAAAATTAAATAATTAAAATTAAATTTACTAAGTAATAAATTAAATACTATCAAAATACTGTTGTCGCAGGTAATAAATCAAAAGACAGTACAACAAGGGACACCATTATGCACATGCAGGTGGTACCACCTTTCACAGCCATCTCAGCAAACCTGGGAAAACAGGTCATGTAGTGGTCTGTATGTTCTGAATTGTAGGGTATCTCTAAATACAGTATACGTGATCTCTAGATTAACTGACTGCTAATATTCTTACTATTCCTTTGATTTTTGGAAGTTCTCACCGACATAATGTTGTGTTCTGACTACAATTAGAAATTATTAACATCATACCTTGTATAAAGTAAGTAATCACACATTTCTTCACAGAATTAGCACAATATTAATTATGCAAAGTAGATGATGCAGAAAATGTGGTAATTACTACTGCAACCCTAAAAAAGGTCAGTAAAAAAATCCTTTTCATTTTTTACATTTTGCAATGTGAATAAATTACCCATTGTGCTTCATCCTGGGCCTCCATTCCACAATAAAAGCACAGACTGCTTAGATCATCTGTTAGGACAAACAGTATTCAACAAATATATTCACACTAATACAATCTGCATTGCACAGCACTAATTAAATAGCTGCATATTTATATAAAATGCATAAAACCAACAACATGAAGTGATTGACAATGTTGAGCAAAAAGGAAACAGACCAGATTCTCTGAGGAGGGAAGTGGCTATGTCCAGCCTCAACTTGTCCACTGCCTTCTGTGAAGTGTCAATATTTATCGCCTGCCACTGTAAAATTTTCTCTGCAAACTGAAGATAACTTTAATTAGCTGAATGGCACAATGAATGCATGGCCTATAATTTTTTTTAATTAATTACATTTTATTTTCTAATTAAAGTATTTAGTTTCATGTTTGATTTCTTTATAGTCAGGTATTAAATATAGTGTGCAATATAGAATTATCAAATTTAATATTTCTCTTCATTTTTGTGAAACTGCATTTTTCCATCTTAAA